GTCTGCCCGCGGCCGTTGTCGCACCCGGAGCTCCGTGTTCCTCGGGGCGCGCGGGGCTCCACACGCCGGGTGTCGCGGTGGAGGGAGGTTCGCACCCCGGTCCAGCGCGGACGGGACCCTGCGGGGTTGGCCACATCCCCTCATTCCCGCTGCCGTCACATGCCCGGTGCCATGAGTGAGGGTCCAGGGGCGCGTGGGGGTCTCCGGTCTTGCGAATTTGTGTTATTTTTGGTTAATTTGGGCGATGGCAGCACTGCCAGCGCATCGGGGAGGGGAGAGTTTCACACAGCTGAGGAATAGTCCGATTCCTAAAATCTGAGCCACTCGGGGGTATATATGAGGCTCATCTCCCTCTCTGCGTGGATACATGGGATTTGTATCTCCCTTGGGTTACATATGTGGGATTTCTATCCCCCTTGGGGTGGGTAGATGGGATTTATATTCCCCTCTAGTTGGATATATGTAATTTAGATCTCCCCAGGTGGATAGATGGGATTTATATCCCTATGGAAAGTATTTTCCTATTTATAATTAATAATTAATGAGCATTTCTCTATTGAAGCTTTTCTCCTGGAAAATGATCCTTGAAAAGAGCCTGCGAGCCGCTAGCTCATGCCCAGGCAGGACAATCTTGGGACAAGCAGTTCCAAATATTTACATGTTGACTCTTTTAACTTTGGAGACAAATAACCAGAGACATTTTGGCAACATGGTGACAGAATTTAAAAAAACAAAAACCAACAACCCAACATGAGAATCTTGGGTTTGTTCCAGCATTGTGTAAACTCCATGGAGAAAATATTTCCTGTTTCAGGATCAAATGGGGAGAGGTCATCCAAGGAGTTTGTCTTGTCTTTTAGGAAGGGGTTAAAATGGGGTTGGAAAGGCTGGATATTGTGAGTGCAGGAATGGAGGAAAAATGGGAGAGATAAAGGAAAACCAGTGAAGGATTATTTATTTGTTCCGGATCCATGGGATGTGGATGGAAGCAGTTCATGTTCTTCACAGTGGAGCTTGAAGGGCTGACCCAAGGTTCATGTTGATGGACAATCGTCCATCAGTGGTGAGAACAAGGAGTTGGGAATTCAGAGAATATTAAAGGCAGGAGAGCAGCCTCAGCCCCCATCCATAATTGCCTAAATCTGTACCAGATCGCCTTCACAGGTCACTAAACGGGGTGTTTTCAATCCTGGAGCCAGTTTCCTCCTCCCTGCTGGCTGTGGGTGGCTCTTCCCTGACCATGTTTGTGTGTCCCTCACTGGTTCTTTTGCAGCTGAAACCCAAAAACAGCCGCTGTGGGCTGTGGCTGCCCCTGGACACCACTCCCGGACCGTGGCAGGCGTGCTGGGAGCAGGTGCGGCAGGATTTGGCTCCAGGATGGTTTGATAAGGAGCTGCTGGAAAATGCCAGAGACCTGGAGAGCTTCTGCTTGCTTCCTGCTGGGAGGTAAATAGGAAAGGTTCTCACAACTGCAGGGAAAATCCTCTTTGTGTTAAAGCTGCTTATCCCAGGGGTTTGCTGGGAGAGCTGGGTGGCTGCTCACGGAAACAGTGGCTGTGGAGCCACCACCATCCTCTGAGTGGGGGGAAAAGGGTAAATCTGGGAAAGGAACTTCCAAAAGAACCAGGAGGATGGTGTAATTTTGGGACTAAAGAGGTTTGGGTGAATATTCCCAGTTTGGGAGCAGGAAATTTCGGGGTGTGCCCATGTGGGGTGCGTTTCTGTCAGGACATCACTGTCCTGAAACACCGCTGGAAGGTGAGGATTTGATCGGGAAGGTTTGTAACTGGAGGATTTGCTCTGGAAAGGAGCAATTCAATTTATAGTTAGGCCAGGTTACAACAAACTGGTTTATTTTCAATGTCTGCATTAGAGGGATGGTTTATAGAAATATACCACTTCTTTTATTTTCCTTTAATTGCATTTTACTCCACTCCAGGCTTGGAAATCTCACTGCTGTGTGGTCCTGAATAATTTTCCAGGGTGTTCTTGGCTTTTTTCAATCCATCTTTATGGCAGCACAGAGCCAGGAGGTGGCACTGCCAGGCAGTGTATCTAGTCTCTCTCCTCCAGATGCTTCTGAGCCCTTTTCAAGCCTTTTTGCTTCCGTAGGAAACAGAAGTTTTCTTTCCAAGGCTGGGGCCTGGATAACCTGGGAGTGGTGGGACAGGCCAGGGCTGTGGGTGCAGAGGAGGTGGGTGGGATGGGTCGTACCTGCTCCTGTGGTCTGGGAGGTTTCTGAAGGGAGCCAAGGGCTCTGGGGACTGTGAGCACCATAAATCTCCTGTTGGCTCGACTCAACCTCTTTTGTCCTCTAGGGTTACGTGGGTGCACCTGGGCCAGTTTTCTATCCCTTCTTCCTGTTAACTCTCCCAAGGAAAAGCAACATAGGCACCGAGTGTGGGAGTGCACTTTTTTCCTCCAAAAAGTTATTTAACTTTTTTTTTACCAAAATCAGCCATTTCTGCAGCAGTTTGCTCTCTGTGAAGGGGGCTGGGGCGGTAGGAGGTTTTCTGGTCCAGCTTCTCATCACACCCAGATGCTGGGGGTGTTTCTGGAAAATAAATGGTGTGAAGAGCAGTTGTGGAAGAAACAAAGTTGGGAGTTCCTGTCTGGGTTTCGAGGCTCGAGAAAATCCTTCTGATGGGACAAGCACTGCACACGTTGTTTGTATTTGTTATGCCAGTTCTGGTGGGGGTTACAGGTTATTTACCATGAAAGACCATGCACCAGGTGTTGGGGATTTTATTGACAGAGGTTGTTATTTACAGCAGAGTCTGAGGAAACAAGAAGGGACTGAAGCATTGCAGAGCTGTCCATGCTCGCACCGTGGGGCGGCACCGTCCCTCCACCAAAACCTCAGACACAAAACCTCGCAGTTCCAGAACAGAGACGACGCCTCGTGGAGAGGATGTCATTGTCAACACCTGACAGTGTCCTGCTCACCGCCCCAGCCACCGTGTCTGGAATGAGGGAAAAAGGTAAGCAGGTTCCAGAGCGTGGCAGGACGGGGGTCGGCATATTCCTGTGATGTTGGAGAGTTCCATCTGTAGAAGAAGGTTGGCCAGATGGGATGGAGCTTCGGAGGAACCCGGGCAGGAACCAGCTGGTCTGTGAGGTTCATCCCAACCCAAACCATTCCAGGGTTTTATGGAACAGGATGTTTGAGTGGATGAGCAGTGGGAGGTGTCTGGTTGCTCACACCTGTGAAGGTCCCACTGAACGCCAGGAGGTCATTGGGAAAATGCCCTGGAAAGCCTCTCCAGGCCATTAGTGGCATCAGAGCTGCTGGTGAGTTCTCTAGCATTGCATCTGGATGCCTGGAAGGGCTTGTTATCATTCCATTGTTTTGGAAAGTTGCTGCTTCAGAAAGAATTTGATTTCCCTGGGTTAAAGGACACACTTTGAGTGAGTGTTGAAATCCCAGAGTACCTTTGGAAGAGGAGTCTGGGGGTCATAGCAGGAGACTCAGGAAGCTGAGGAGGATGATGAGGGTGAGGTGGCCCTGCAGGGATGGTCCCAATGATTGCTGGGAATCCTGGTGAGCCAAGGAAAATCAATCAGTCAGAAAGTCCCAGGTTTTACTATGCTAGAAGCCTGTGGCAGAGCTCCTGAGCTGACAAGCACCCACCTGACTGTTGTCAACATCCCTGGAATCCCCTGGAGCATTTGTGTCTGGTAATCTTGAAATCATGGTGGTGGCATTCTCTTCTGGAAACCACTTCTCCCAGTCCACCTCTCCAGTGGTGCTTGTCTGGATGTGCAGAAAGAAATAACCTGATATGTCACAGCATAGGATTAACTCCTAGTCTAAAAATCAGCAGTTTTAATCCATTTATTTTTCCTTGTGGCAGAGATTTGGGTGAGGAAAACCTGTTTTTTGGGGAATACTGAGATAAACCCAACTCACCTCATATGTATCCAACTCATACATGTATGTGGCAGGGGTTGCCGTGATGTTGTCATAGTAATAATCTTCTGTGGAATAATAGTAATTGCCTGGAATGGAAACAGTTCCAGGTGAGGTGGCACTATGGGGGTGGAGGACACCTGTCCAGAATGGGGTGAGATGAGTCCCTCCCCCATGTCCTGGGTTGTGATCGCCCAGAATTTCCCCCTGAGAAGCCAGTGTATCTCAAATTAATCTGGACAACTCAGATAAATCCCTTCCCAGCCCCAGTTAACTCACTCAGGCTTGTGGAAAATGGTAAAAAGGCTTAAAAAAGGCATTTCTCACTTAAATGTGCCATGTAGTCATATAAATCCTGTGCGATCTCCTCCATGTCATCTTGGACCTCTGCCTTCCCTGAAAGCAAAGGAACAACGTGTGGATCATCATGCAGCACCTCGGGTCGAGCTGTGGCTGTGGGGTCATGTGAAGTTCCATTGATTTATTGGTGCTTTGGGCAAAACCCGTTTCCTGTGGGACTGATGGATTTACAACCTGACCCATAATTAGATCCCAATGAAAGGTGTGGGAGGTCAGACCAGAGCTGGGGTTTTTCTCCGTTTTTGGGTGTGGATGTGCCGGAAGCAAGAGATGCAGTGGTGGGGATGGAGCCTCTGCACCCCAGAGCCAGAGCTGGGCTGGGGCTCCCCTGGGAGGAGCCGCTCATCCAGGATCCAGCTGCTCCAGCTGTGCAGCTGCTGAGGGCTCAGAAGGGACCCTCCTGTTTCCATAGGGCCACTATAAATAAATTCTGGCCCATGTGACATTGTCACAGTTGGAGCAAGTGGCTCATTCCCCATTCCAAACACAAGGTTCTGTGCGTTTTCTTGTTTTTTGGGGGGATTTTTTAAAGCAAATTAATTGGGAATATTAATGTACTAATAGTCACAGATTCATGAGAATGGAAGATATGGAATAAGGTATTTTTATAGTTTGATATTCATTTATAGTCATAAATAAGATAATATTGTCATTATAAGTTGCAACATTAATAGCTGGAATGATGGCTGTCAGTCATGCCCAGGGCCAGCTGTGGCTCCAGGTCTCTCTCCAAACCCTCCCACTTCTTCCTCTCATATCCCTGACTTTTTCAGCACTGGCAAAGCTTGTGGGGGAAGCCCAGGTCCCAAAATTCTCATTAGGGAATTCTCTGAAAACAGTGACTGAGGCTGAAGATTGCAGGGTGGGATCGGGGCTCTGCAGGAGGGACAGTGCAGCCTCACCCGTCGTGGTCTCAGGCGCCCCAACCTGTCCCACTCCCATCCTGAGCTTTTGGGGAAATTCGGGCTGAGGTCGGGACCTGCCCCACCCCTCTCCTTCCCACGCTCATCCTCTGACAATGCCCCAGCAGCGCTGAGCTCTGGCTCCGGGACACATTATCCTGTGCTTTCCCAAAAGCCACTCCGAGCCAGCTCTTGTGTTTACACTGCAGTCACACTAACAGCAATGGTATCCCAAAAAGAGCTTCCAGCTGGGAATCCCCTCCCTGATGTTTCATGTTTGGGTCTGTTCCTTCAGTGAGGAGAAGAAAGGGAAAGAGGAAGAGGGAGACTCTTGGCATGGCAGAGCTGCAGTTCCCACTTCCCCTCAGCCGCTGCTTCTCTGCATCCAAACTTCCCAGAGATGGGGGAATACCATGCTCATCCCTAAGCAGCTCCAGGCTGGGGTTTTTCTCCCTCAGTATCTTGATTCCACTCTTTCCCATCTCAAAGTGCCCACATAACTCTCAGGAAATCCTGTTGGGGCTTTTTCCCTGTGTCTCCTAATAGCTCCCAGCTGGAATTTGCAAATGATTTGAACACAATGCGGGAAACGTTCACTATCCCACTGTTCTGCAAGCACACATTTATGGAACGTTCAGTAATTTACATGGTGTATTCCTGACATTTTTTTGCCTGCAATCCCCTTTCTCCCAGAAAATCCCCCCAAGCTCTTTCAGCTTCTAGACCCCTCCATCTGCCCCGCGGCATCCCAGGAGTGTGGGAATAATCAGAGCAGAGAGCTGAAAACCCAACTGCCCTTAGGAAACACGGGGAATGTATTTACCCGTCAAGGAATGAAGGAGCAGGAGCACAGCGATGCACAAGTTCATCGTCCTCCGTTGGGTGTCGGCTGCCGGCAGCGGCTCCGCTCCTGCTCCGCGGGCCCTTCCTGAGCCGTCCCCGTGGGGCAGGAAATGATTCAGGGGGGGTTGAGAGCGGGAGGGAGCCCGAGCTGTGCCCGGCGCTGCAGCGGGGAGTGCTGAGCGTGTCCCGGGTCCCGTGTTAGGTGGAAGTTTCCCGTTGTGGAGGCGTTTCGGATGGCTGAATTGCAGATCTTGGGAAGTTTTCCCCGGGGAGGGTTAGTGCCGCTGGATGAGTTCTCATATGGAGGGAGGATGGTTTTGATTATGTTCTAACAGAGCAAAGCAGAGCTATAAATAGCAAATTCTTCTGGGAGCGAAAGCAGAGATGCTGACTAGAAGCTAGAGTAAAAGTCCTGACTTCCCATAAAATCTTGGGGTATTTTTTTGTCTTGGCTTCATTTCCCCTTCCCATGCCTCAGTTTCTCCATCAGGAGGAAGAAACATGAATGGTCATGGATTTATTTTCATTTACAGTGGGTAAAAACACCCTGAGGAGAAGGCGATACAAGAGCTCCTGTGAGGAGCCAGCGGGATCCAGGTGGGAGTTGGTGCAGACTGGAGGGGGAAGGAAAAGGGGAAGCAAAGGAGATAGAGATGATGTAAAGGTGGTGTAAAATCAGTATTTTTGTGACTCTTGAATATGGAGGTTAGAAAACCAGGAAAGAACAAGGCGAGTCTTGCTAAGTACAGGAGGAGCTCTGGTTTTGGTTGATTCCATAGAATCAATGAAGGGGTTGGGAGTGGCCTCAAAGCTCATCTCATCTCATCTCATCTCATCTCATCTCATCTCCTGTTGATTTTAAATCAAAGATTTCTGTAGATTTTAAGGATTTGAATCAATTTTAAGGCAAAAATTCCCCAAAGCAGACTTTTTTTCCTACCAACAGTGGACCCAACTGAAGAATTTTTCCAGCGTATCCCAAAGCTGATTCTCAGCCTCCCTGGGGTTCTCTGTGCTTTGCTGAATGAGCTTCCCCCATCTGTAGAGTGATGTTTAGCGAAGGGTTAAGTACCCAGGAATGCCGAACAGGAAGTAATTCTCTTCAAATCCTCCTCTCCACAAGATCCTCCTCTCCCTCCTCCACAAAAATAACATTGGAACTCAAAAATCACAACCCAAGCAGAAATCTGAACTTGTAGTGAAGAATCCCAGCAGGGCTGGAGGCACTGGGGGAGCACAGAAGGGTTAAAATAACCTGGGATTAAAGGAATGGGCAGGGAAGGAGCGAGGAAGGTCCCTGAGGATGATTATGGCTTATCAGATGAGTGGATGGGGTTGAATGGACAAACCCTTGGCATGAGAGCTGGGAGTCAGAATTCAGTGGGATTTGCTGGTTTGGGATTTTCTGACGCTTCAGAACTGGGTGTGATGGTGTAAGACTTGGAAAAATCGAGAAAACATGGAGAATCCACTAAGGGACATGGATAAAATGTGCCATAAGGTGGTAAAAGAGGGAAACAGCTGTTTTTCCCTGGCTGTGACCACCTGGAACATCCCAGCAGCATCCTGCATCCCAGGTGCAGATCTTGAATTGTGTTTCTGGATGGAAAAGGAAACGTCTCTGTTTTTGTTCTGTTTTCTTTTTACCTTTTTTCTTACTGATTCTTCACATCTGGTAACACAGAGCAAACCCAATGCAGCCACAGAAAGGAGGGAGACCAAGGGCTTTTCCATCTCCCATCCCAAAACCTTGTTTCCTAATCCCCAAATCCCTATTTTGCTCAATCTTTCTACTTTTTTGTCTTTATTTTTTTAATTATTAAGGGTTTTTTTTTTGCCAAAATCCAACAGTAAAATCTGCCACAGCAACAGAGCAGCAAGGGAGGGGCACCTTTCCTGAGGGAAAACTCAACATGTGAACCAAAAGAGAGGGAAAAAGGAAGGAAAAGGAGAAAAACAGAAGGAAGAATGAGACTCTTGTCTTTTGCCATGAGGGAGCTGCATCGCAGGGATGCTCAGGGCACCCAGAGCCTGGTGCTGTGTCGGGGGGTTCAGTCCAAGGAGGAAGGTGCAGCTGAAGTCAGCGATGCTCGGATGCGTTGTGTCATTTCCCAGCTTTAATAGGCGGAAGCGAAACAAGAAGGGAAATTAATACAACGCAGCCGGTAACTCCCGGTTCTTCCCTGAACAATGCCTCGTGCCCAGGAGACTCGTGGGATTCCTGCGGAAGAGGCTGCAGGGGACATTGTTTGGAGTTTTCCTTGCAGGAGATGTGAAGATGGATGGAAAAGCCAAGCCCTCATGGCAGCAGTGCCCAGCACTCCCTGCAGCACCACCAGTCCACAGGGAGGTGGAATGAGCTGCCCGTCCCATGAGAATCTGGAGGGAGCGGCTTTGGAGTCGTCCAGGCTGTTGTTGCTGGCTGATGGAATTTTTTAGTCTAAATAAAGTTTTCCTGCTCTTCCCAGCTCCTCTGTAAACAGTGGCAGCATAGGGGTGGAGGACAGAATCAGAATGGGAGATGTAAGGGGCTTGGAATAGAGAAAAAATGCTGCTTTAAAGAAGAATTTCTTGAAAATAGAAGAGGAGAGAGGATCCGGCAGATGGGTGGTACTGGGCATAGACCGTGTCAGGTGTCCCCAGTGCAGTCCCTGTCCCGAGTGTCCCTGTCCCGAGTGTCTCTGGCCCCAGCTCCGGCCCTGGTCCTACCCCCCCCCGGGAGAGGCCTCCGGGCCGGCAGGGGGCGCAGTGCGCGGCCGCCATGTTCGCGGTGCCGGTGCCGGTGGCCCCACACGGGGCTGTGGGGGCCAGCGCGTTTCTGGCCGTGGCGGGGGGGTCTGGCAGGCCCTT